CCACAGAGAAAATGGCAGCTGCTGTTGACGGAAGGAACTAGTGGCGCACGGGTATGTTTACAGTATACTGTATATAAGCGGGTACTTATCCTTGACCTTGCCGAACCTGCAACATGTTTTGACTCTTTTCCCCCATTCCGCGCACGCTTTCCCACAGTGGCTGTCAAGAGTTATCTACCTCTCAGCCGAAACGCTGTTTCCCTGCTTCTCTTTTCAGCATGGAATTAACCTTGTACTCGTTCCTTCGCACCCCGCAGTGATCTCTGTTTACTGCTCTATTCCGGTCATGCTGGTAAGACACGCCCCTGCCTGAACTGGGGGAGGCCGGCTGTACTTATCAGCCAATAGGATTGCAATACACCCTCTGCGCGGGCCGGCAGATCACGTGCGGCGCCGGAGGCGGTGCCCCGAGGCGCGAGGGCGTGGTGAGTAACGCCGTTGGACTTTTATCGAATGAAATTTATTTTTCTAAGTACGGTTATCAATACTTTCTCCTCACATCCGCGACCACACTACCTTGTTGCGGATTTTAGGAGCGAGGGTCAGCGAAAACATCCAACATTTGTTTTGATATGGCTAAAATTATGTTCTTGTTATTATTAGCATCCGTTTTTTAAATATAATTAGTCTCATTATATACGATCAATTTGTAAAATGGGGCGGGTACATTACGCTATCATTGTATAGTCCAAACCATTGTAATAAACTAATATTTTTATAAGTTTGAATGAGGATCCTAAATGTGTTGTTGTTTAATACCGTAGTTACAGTATAAAGTTTTTCGTTGTTATAGTATAAATGTACTTTACATGGTATACCACAGTTAACTATGTTGTAGTAAAGTGTTATATAGCTGACTACAGTTTGATGTGGTGTAGTTTATTACAGTTCGCCATGGTGTATTATAGTTTACTATGCTGTAGTATAATTTATTATAGTATACTAGAGTTTACAATGTAGTATTACAGTTTAATATAGTTACAATATAGTTTACCATGGTGTAGTACCCACAGGTAAGGACACCTCTGATTTTGCCCTATTATACCACAGCTCCGCTGGTCTTTACTGTGAGTTACTACAGGAAGACATGGAGACTGGTCTAGTGCTCTTTAGCACAGAGTGTGAGGTCTATGTCAATCCTCAGCTACATGTATGAAGTTTCTGATTGTCTTATTGAGAGCCCAGCTGTGTTTGGGGCTGAGCAGAAGAGACTGCCAGGGGACCTGCCCCAGAAACAGGAAATTGAGAGCTGGATTGTGTAGGCGAGCAAGAGACAAGCACTTCTTTACAGAAGCAGGTATTTCTGTTGGGGTCTGTGGCAGTCTGCCTGCCTGCCTTCGCTGTTAAAGATCCGACTGTGTGTGAGAGAAATGATTCAATAATATTTCAGAATCAATTAGCTATTGATCATCAAACAAGCAGGGCAGATCGCTTCTGGTCTTTAAACCATCTTGTGTTCTCAGAACAGCTGCTTGTTTGTGTGTGTTTAGCTGTCAGAGTGTGTTTCAGATAGACCCACTAGAGACAGCAGAAGGCAATTGTATCCTCCCCACTCTGGGAGATGACATCCGTCAAGGCCCAGTCCCAAGGGAATGAGCCAGGGGATTTTCCTGAAGACGACCCCAGGCAAGAGACCCTGTTCCTAGGCACCAGTCAGGGAGAGACACTGGAGCAGCCAGCTGCCTGGGATGGTGAGAGAGCCTGGGGTCATCTGATCCACACCGAAAGACCTGCACATCAGTGTGAGGCTCTTGTCTGTCCACAGCGATCTCTCCAAACTGTGATTGAAAGTGGTCTTCACTCTCTTTGCTTACACTATCTGTTGGATCTCCTCTTTGACACAAACGAGAGTCGTTCCCCTCCTACACCCAAGGAGCTCTAACAGGCAGTTCTGATTGTGAGTGAGTGTGCCCTTCCGGTAGTCCAGCTTGTTCACGGCAGGCCTCTCTGCCCTGCCAAAGCAGCACACTGCTCTGCGTGTGGCTGCGTGTCTTTGGCTTGACAGATGGCTCCAGGAGGGTGGGAGCTACAGGCATGCTCCTGTCGTTGAGTGTATTGCTGCAGACCGAGCCAGCCACAGGCCGCCCCCTGGCTGTGAGGAGTACTGCTGTCCGCCTCTGTCCACAGAGCTCCCTGGGAGCCACCCCTACACCTACTGCCGCGTCAGCACCGTGGACGAGAAGCTGTGGCCGATCGAGCACCACCTGCAGTGCCTGCTGAAGAAAGTGGATGAGTTTCAGATGCACCTGCTCTACAGGTGGACAGGATCACGCTTCTACACCAGCTTGTACTGTACTTTGTGATGCTATACACACCAGTACACTGTACTGCAGTGTATAGTGCAGTATACTACAGAGTAATGCTGCAAAGTGTACTGTAGTTCTCCGCAGTCTAGTACAGTGTAGTACTGCGAAGTCTAGTACAGTCCAGCGCAGTCTAGTACAGTGTAGTACTACAAAGTGCAGTATGTTCAGTGCAGTCTAGTACAGTGTAGTACTGTATAGTCCAGTAACGTCCAGTACAGTGTAGTACTGTGAAGTGTAGTGCAGTCTAGCGCAGTCTAGTATGGTGTTTTACTGTGAAGTGTAGTATGTTCAGTGCAGTGTAGTACTGCAAAGTGTAGTGTAGTTCAGTACAATCTAGCACACTCCACCAGGGGACATTACCCAACCTGTAGTAGTACTGAAACAAACTACAGTGCAGGACAGCAGCCCAGTGCTACAGGGGGCCTAACCCATTCAGTTTAGATCCAATGGACCCCCCATGTTTCAGATTCCGAATGAATAGAAAAGTACTGCTTAGCCTAGTTGTGTACCCTCAGAGGCTCTCCCAAGCCACACACCACATCCACAAGTGAGGGGATCCCTGATGTAACAGGGGAATTGAGCACAGGGTCCCCCTGTGCAGTGCAGTGCAGTCCTGTGACTCTGATGTCTATCTGTCTCCGGGCTGCAGTCGAGATCGGATGCCGAAGGAGGGCTTCACCGAGGCTGTGCTGACCTTCTTCAGGAGCTGCCAGCCCTACTTCGCCTACCTGGAGTCGACTGCACGCAGCGTGGCCCCCAGCCACAGGCCCCTGCCACAGCCCGTTCGGACACGGGTGAGAGTCCAGACAGGCGGGCTGAGCCCGGGAGGGGGAGAAGGGTGAGAGAGTGGGGAACGCAAGGACGGTAACATAGAAGGTAGCAGAGAGAGGAGGTACTGCAGTAGATGTGATCACCCAATAGTCTTACCTTTCACCTTCTCTCTGTGTCTGTGTCTACCTCTGCCTGTCTGCCAGCTGTTACAGTTTTCCCACCTACTGTGCAGTCGATTGGAACAGCTGGTGCTGATGTATGCCTCCCTTGGCCTCCTGTCCCTGGAGGAGACTGACCCCTGCAGGTACACCGTAGTACTACACCCGCACTGCTCAACACCCCACACACAGACCCCCGCTCGCTCTCCCCCTGCCTTCCTCAGCCTGGCCAGTGTACTTTCTCAGGGTCAGCAGTGAAGCCTAGAAATCTGAGAGGAAGTACATTTAAGAGCAGGGGGCTCAAGAGAGGCTCGGGCAGCAAAGACCAAGTGCCCTAACAGCCAGTGTCAGTGGTCCTGATGTCCCTAGCTGCCTATGATATAAACAAGAAAACAACTGTGACATACTGTACAGAACACAAAAATAAAACCGAATGAAAACAATTACTGAAAACAGGAGGGTGGGAGCATGAATTAGTTTACCTAGTCATATGGTCCCAGCCACTACCTTGCCTCCCTGGCAAGTTATATCAGGTAACTGGCCTCGACTTGTTCAGGGACCCTCTCTTGAGTTGTTCTGCTACCCCCCCCATCTCTCTCAGTCTCTCTCAGTTCCACTGCGGCGAGGTGCAGCTCGGGCCGGGCTGCCGCGTCTCGGCGTTCCGCTACTGCCGCCCCTCCCCCTTCCACGCCGGCGGCGCCCCGGGGCCGAGGAGCAGGCTCTACAAGTGCGTCCGCTGGAACGTGGAGAGGGCGCCGGGGCGCAGCTGGAGGGAGGCGGCTGGAGGATGGGCAGAGGGCGCGATGGAGACGGGCGTGGAAAACGAGTAGTGAGTGAGGCGAGGCGGGTGGTACGCGGAGTCCGAGCAAGAGAGGATGAGGACTGAATGAGCGGACCCTAGTCTCATGGCAGAGCATGGTTTCCCCTCTCACCCCTGCGTGTTTCTGCAGCTACTTCCTGTGCTGCGAGCTGCCAGCAGGCGGGCTGAGCAAGACGGAGAGCGGGGGCGGAGTGGCCAGCAGTCCACTCAGACCTCCGTGCGCCTGGTCCATCGGGCAGTGGGTACAGATCGACCCTGATCCCGAAAGGAGTGACATCTATGACTGGTAAGAGGAGGGAGGGGCGATGTAAGTAGTACTGCTAATGCCGAGCGCTGCTTTATGTTGAGCAGTAGGTGGCGCTCCTCCCTCTAGATTGTAACTTCCACACCCATGGTGATCACAGCAACTGTACTGTAAGAAATGCTGTTCTTTGGATAAGATATTAAATCAAGTTCCTGGCTACTTGGTCATATCTATTGGTCAGAGCAGAGGTGTTAATCACACTGGACTCCTTCTAGCCCCCCCTTACCTGAACTGCGGCAGCAGTTTCTTGCTGCTCATTGGGACTGCACTTCAGTCGGAGGTGAAGCAGAAGTGCATTGGGATGAAAGTCATTCTTCATATACAAACTGTACTGGTGCTTAGAACAGTGACAACAGCAGTGCGTGTCCAGAACAAGACTCCTACAGGTCTGCATCTCTTTCTCTCAGGGTGTTGTGCGTTGTGCCCAGAGGGGAGTACAGGCCACTGCTGTTTCTGGGGGAGGAGGAGCCCACGGTCAGCACTGCCACCGACTACCTGTTGGGGTTGCTGCTGAGACAGGGCCTGGGGAAGCCAGGGACCGAGGGCTACTGAGGTTCCTGCGACGACATGCATCAATGCCACAGCACTCAGACAACCACTGCAACAAAAATTCATGATTTATGTATAAACTTGCTCTTCCACTTCTTACAGCAGCTCAGGTCACAGGTCTTCAACACTGCCATCTAGCAGGCCACTTGTGGTACAGCATCCTACACTGCACTTCTCACAGGGCTGCACTTCCAAGATATTTACAGCTTTCTTACATTAATACGTAGACCTATCATATTTCGTACACAAGTTCTTAAAAAGCATATTAAAATTGGTAGACTTGCTATTAAAATACACCCTGACCGGTCTCCTTTCTTACATTCTTCAAATTAATTTAGCTTTATTTGTCCATATGGTGCTTTTCACTTACCTTTCCAGAGATCAGGATACAGGACTTGGCTCGCTTGCCGCTTTATGACACAGAGGGCAGTCAAAGGCGACACAGAGTGCAAGAAAACTAAAAACAAGCACAGCCGATGCAGTGTGGCCTTGTTTTCACACAGGGTCTCACAAACACCTTCCTCTGGCCCAACTTAAGACCACTGGAATTGTTCTTTGACAGGATTGCCTTCCATTCTGCCTCAGTGGCTCTTTCAGTTTCTCAGGAGATGCCCAATCCCAGGATCTCACCCATATCCATCAACAACGACCGCCATCTTGTGAACCTGATACCTCTTTATTCCCCCTCAGCCCCTCATCCTGAACTGCAATATCCTGCCTCTAGAAGGGCTGTCTCTAGGCCTGTAGTCTGACCACTGGCACAAGGTCACAATGTTGACCTTCAGAGCTCTCTGGTGATCTGGCAGCAAGAGACCTCATGATGGAAGATCACCCCAGCGGAGCACAGGCTTGACCCAGTACACTAAGTGAACTTTTCTTGATTCATTTTCTTGTATGTTTATGTGTACACTTTTTAGTGAAAGAACAATTGCAGAGTTTTATTAAAAAAACATTTTATTTTAGGAAAAATGAAATAACTACATATTTTACATAAATCAAACAAAAAAATTAAACAGTTTTCCAAATTCAAGAAAATCAACCTGTATATAAAATCACCTCCCTTCCTTCCAGCTGAACCACAGCCTCAATTACAAAATAAACTTTCCAATACTGGAGAAAAATCACATTTAGCTGCCATTTCACAGAACCTCGAACCTCCAGCCTGAGGCCCATGCGTCTCCCCTTTCCCTTTTTCTTTCAAGTTACAGGAGGCGTTTGACCTAATTATTAAATTGCACAACTACACAAAAGCACAACCATTTACTGAAAACACATCCTAAAAGATTGAAGACTGGCCTATAAAACGCTCTTCTTCAGTCTGTAGGGTAAACAAATGACCTGACCTGAGCTACTGCACACAAGCATTCAAACATCAGAATGAAAAAAACCTGCCTTCTCCCGAAGTCTATTAGACTTAGGTTCAGGATCAGCTGAACACATTTCTCTACTACACGTTTGTATTTGCAAGTTTCAATCCCTTCTGTAGTGCGCTCCGTAACTTCTAAGTTCCTTACTTAAAACTACTTCACAGCTTTTCATCTGCCCTACAGTGGAAATAAAAACAACCTGCATTCCCTTTTCCCGATGTCAGAAATGCACAGGCACTGCCATCTCCCTTCTGTCAGAAAATAGAACTGCAGAAAAAAGTCCAGCTTTTATTCAAACATTTACCAAGGTCTAAACAGGGAATTTATGTTCTTGCATTAAGGACAGTCTACTAAATAACAGTTCAGCAAATAAAATTAGTTCCTATTGTTATAAGCACCTGCAGTGCATTGGCTTGGCACAAAAGTTCATGCTTAAGTCTTTAATTGTTAGAACAATACTATCTCCAGAAGTCCTTCTGATACACGCGTGCTGTGCTACAATCCAGTAGTACAGTGCTGTTTATTCACATTTTCACAGTATCCTGTGTGAATAGATTGTACCATCTGACTGCTGTCCCACCCTGCGCTGCTAGAGCCCCGAGGTGTCACAGGTTTCGAGTGCGGTCTTGAGCCTGCTCTGTAAAGAGCACCCGAACAGGAGTACCCAGGGGTTTGCTTTATACAGAACAGTAAAAGCCACCTTTAACTCAGGACACCGTTGAAAGCCATTGGTCCTTGTACCATTTGAGACTAATAAATCTTTAAGCACATAAATTAAATTAAATGTGGTATCGTACCAGAAGTGTTCAGAGTGTAAGCAGGTGTGTAAGATAAACCTGAAAGAACTACACAACCATAATCTCCCCTTCCCTCCTCCACTGTGACAAGGGAGGGCTGCCAAAAAAAACTGGAGTCTAGAAGAGGAAGCCCATTACAGGGCCTCACTGATCCCTGACTTGGCCAGTTGCTCCCTCAGTATGAATCAATTGTCAAAAACAGTAGGGAAAAAGAGGAGAAAACACAGAGATCCACAGAATTACGGAGAAAATAGTGCAATAGATAAAAAGTGGAAACTCTTATCATTTAGGTGATTAACCTCCAGAGTTCACAACTGCCCCTGGTTCAACGTGCCAGCATACATCACTGGTTTTGAAAACCGCTTCTGCATCACCCTTCTGTTAAAAAGAGTCCATTAGGAACTACAGCAGCTCAACTCTGCAAAAATGTTCAGTTCACTGGAGCTTTGTCCACTGACCATCATTCTTCATTGGTCTAAAGTACTAGAGAGCCCGAACGGACATAGACATCTTCTGATCTGCAGTGAGATCACCTTTCCTGTAGCTTTGGAAACAAGGCTCAGGATTTAAGCATGCATTTCAACAGGCAAGACTTTTGTCTAAAACCTGAATTTCATGCTCAACTTATTTCAGCCCTGTATCCCTGAAATGTATCCTGTCATCCCTGAATCCAGACTGGCACAAAAACCATACGAGTCTCCTGAAGAATAAGTGCCGTAAAAATGTAATAGCTGCTTCAACAGGCACAACACCTGTAAACAGAATATTAACCACAGAACATGCTGCATTCAGGAGAGAAAATATTAAAAGACAAATGCAGAGAAAGCAAATATGCTGCAGACAGAGCTGACTCGTTCTGCTGATGCTAGCTCTCTGAGCCACACACCAATCCCACTGTTCTCAGAAACTTGGGCTGGCCAGCTGTCTGCCTTCTTCATTGTTACAGACCTCTCTCTTCCCCATGAGGTACCCTACACCCCTTTTTCTCCCTCTCTCTCCACTCTCAGCTCCTTCTACCCCTCTCCTTTGACTAAGCCCTGGCCTAGCCAGCCTCTCTTGCTCCCACTGTGCCCCTCTGTCTCCAGTCCACACCAACCAAATTCTTCCATAGCTAGACATGGTCTATGCATTGGCAAAAATTCAAATCTGCTAACTTGTTGCAGGAGTAGAAACACTGCTGCCCCATAAAGATAATGAGCTGTTTTTCTCCCCCACCCCCCCCTTCAGTCCCCTCTCTCTCTACTGCAACACAGCCCATCCTCCTCTCCCCTCCCCCTCGCTCTGTTCACCCTTTGTTCCTCCACTCCTCTGTTCTGATTATGACATCAGCAACCGCAGCGTCCCCTCAGACAGAAAGACCCAGGAAATTATGTCATGGCCTTGGAATGCCAAGAGGCCTCCCACACACAGACTCCTCTACAGCACATCGCCAACAAAACAGCACAGATGAAGCCTCTATCCCTCCATCTCCCTCCCAAAGGAGAGAGGAGAAAGAATTTCAAACTCTCATTTTACTGCCGTCATGTTACGCCCAGAGCCCAGCCAGATTAAAGCATGACCTTCGACCTCTCCCTTCCCAAAACCCACTTCCAGTGTTGTCGGCAGGATGGCAGCACTAATGTTGTAAGCTGTTTGCCAAGAGGCTTCAGCTCTGTTTTTTAGTTCACTGCCTGTTCGAACAGCACAAGGCTCCGTCCCTCTGCCCGAGATCCTTCCTTCTGCAAAGGAAGACAAGTCTGATACCAAGTCCAGCAGTCAGGAGTCATCCTTCAATTAGAGATCATCATTAATTAAAAAAAAAACACATTATTAAAGTAAACACTATCAAGAACCCCAGCTGGCAGTGATTCATGTTTTCCGTGCAGGTGTTGCCTCACGCCGGGAGGATGAGGTATTGCACCTGTAGCCTGACTGACGATTGATAGCTGATGGATCTCAGATGTGTCTCCAGCCCAAAACCATATCAGTTGTTGATTAGGAAAGCCAGAGCAGACAGCCCTCATCTGATTACAGATTCCTTAGATCCCTCAGGTGGCTTTTGCTTCCTGCTGCAAATTGACAGTTCTGACGATTATACATTAGACACTTAATTGATTGCTGATCAGTTTTCGGATTGAAATTGATTGGTTGCCGACTGCTCTCCCTCCTTCCAGTAGTGATTATAAATAAGGTGCCGATTGGTGGTAGGGTGGTTTTTCACCCTGTCGCTGACCAGGGGTGAATTATCGGTTATTGATCAGTGATGGATAAGGATATTGCTCAGTGGCGTGTCTTTTGATTGAAGATGATTTCAAGTTATCAATCAGTGATGCTTCCAGGTTTTGGAATGGAACTGAAGTGAATGAGCTGAAATGAGCAGCGCTGGACGGCGGGTTATTGATCAGTGATGAACAGGTATTGATGGCTGGCGTGCTCCCGGCTGTGCCTCAGTGGTGAGTCTCCAGCTCCACCACGGTCCAGTCACCCTGGCTGCAGCCGTGGTCCTCGGGGGAGTAGCTGGTGACGGCGGTGATGCTGGCACCGGGGGGGTCAAGCGGAGAGAGCAGCTCGGGCCAGCGGCTCGACTCCAGCGGGCTCAGCGTGCCCCCCGAGCCGGTCAGCAGCAGGGGACAGCGCTCCCCCGCCAGCAGCAGCGTCTGGTTGATCAGCTGCTGGACCATCTCCGCCTTGTTGACCCAGTCCAGCTCCAGCAGGGGGCGCTGCGGGTCGGGCCGCTCCTGGCTGTGCAGGTCTTCCTCCTTCCCCGTCGCCGCCTGCAGCTCCCCACACTCCTCTGCCCCCTCCCGCCGGATCCACACCCCTTCTCCCTCCTCTTCCTCGTCCGTGGTTTCCATGGCCTCGTAGATGGTGCTGAGCGCGGAGGACGGCGAGAGGAGCACCGCCACTGGTGCCGTTTTGTTCTGCTGCTGCTGCTGCTCCTTGCACTCCTGTTCCTGGCGACATGCTGGCTGCGTCTCCTCGCATGGGATCTCCCAGTGCAGCGGGGCTTCTCCACCCTGCCGCTGCTGCTGCGGCTGCTGCTCCTCCGGCTGCGGCTGCTCCCCTCCCAGGAGTTCAGGGCTCCATCGGAGGAGGTGGCCGCCCTCGTTCTGCCCCCCGCCTGCAGAACAGTCAAGATCTCTTGGGAAAGTGTTGGAGGAGAAGGACGAAGGGAGGGACGTAAGGGAGGAAAGGGATCACAGGCAGAGGGAAAGGAGAAACGAAGGGAGGTGAAGGATAACAGGCAAGGAGAAAGGAGAAACAAAGGGAGAGGGAGGGAGGATCTCAGGCAGAGGGACAGATGGTGAGAAAAAATGAAGTAGAGATGAATAGAGGGCAGGCGGTGAGAGAAAGCTGCCCTGGGTGAGTCCAGACAGACACCAGGCAAGCAACAGGATGGCCAACACAACAGCAGCAGGAGATGAGTGTGATCCTTCAGGAGCTAGATGTGAGAGACTATCACCTATCCCTGGTGTCTGTACAGCTAAAGAGGATGATGGAATTACAACAGGATTTCCTGCCCTCCACACTACCAGGAAATGTGCCAACATGCCAGGTTCAGTGGAGCAAATCATTAGGTGAAAATAAATGCCGACATTGAGCAGTGCTGTTCATTAATGACAATTACGCATGTAATGGATTGTCTTTATCAAATACTTAAGACTGCAGATACAGCACAGAGTATGCAGGCCCTGTCATAACCAATTATTTTCTAAGAGACTGTACATGTGGAGGACATGGACTCATTCACTGTGAACAGCGCCGCTGCACTGCAGGCATCCTACAGTCCTCTGTCCGGCAGGCGTCCTACAGTCCAACAACAGGTGATCTACAGTCCTGGTTCTTGATACGAGACTCAGTGGCCTCTGACCTCACCATCAATGAATCGGTGATTATCTGAATGAAACCAACTAAATTATTCAGTATTAATTAGCAAACAATTGGAAAAAAAACGTATTACTTGAGGACTGGTATGAGCTATCCCTGACCTAATCCATCAATGCCAGAGAGGAACATATGCAGATCAGAGCTTGTGAACTGCTACCCACTCCACCTAGTTCCACTCCAGGGCTTGAATACAACAAGGCCAGCACCTATATGGCGATGGTCATCCTGCTGGGGGGACTGTTCAAGAGGTGCTGGGAAGGCTGGTTAGATCCTATTGAGAAGGACTCCTCTTTTCCCAACCCAGGTAGCATCCCGCTCTATACCGCACACACCTTAAAGGAAACAGGACAGAGACCCACACTACTACAGCAACAACAGCCATTTCCATAGTCAGAGAGCACCGGCCTCTCCCAGGAGGAGCGCAAACGTGTTTTGCAACACAGCTCAGATGCCCCCTGAGCACCATTAACAGGAACACAGATTGTAAACACCCAGGGCCGAGGACAGGACAGAAGACCCAGAGCTCTCACCTTCCCTTCCCCCAAGACGCCCATGATCAGTACAGAGCACCAGGCAGTTCCTGGATCAACACTACACGCCAGCTTGAACAGAGACAGGCAGACGGGTGGAGCGACAGATCGACAGCAAGAGAGCTACAGGCAAAAAAAAACCACCAACACAGAGCGTGCAAGTGCAACAGGCTGGCGGGAGAGGGCAGGGGGTTAGCCAAAGCAGAGCGCAGAGGTTCCGTCAACACAAGAGAATAAAGGAATTCGGATCGAGAGCCAGTTTTGTGCAATGAAGTGGCCACTCCTGTATATGCAGTAACCACAGAACAGAGTGCAGAAACTCGGAACAGGAGAAAGGAGCCAGCCAGCGCCGTGAGAGCGTGCGCACCATGCAGGGAAACCGGGCCGGGCTGAGCCGAGTCTCCGTGCTCCTCTTCGGGGAAGCGGGCCTAGCGAGGAGGGAAGAAAGGGCGTTGCTGTCAACATGCGCGTTAAGATAGCAGCACAGCAGGCTTGTCTGCAAAGAGAGACGAGTCCCAGGAACAGCACCAGCAGAGGGGCTCCAGTGAGGACAGGAGTCACCCCTCCTTAACAGCAGCACCAGGCCCTCTCCTGTCCCTCGGGGGGCAGATCCAGGCCCGGTCCTCTCCTCTGTCTGTG